ATCGAGAGCGATCGGTCCCAAGCCAGTGGATTATGGATAAAAATAGAATCACGTTTTCCGAGAAGGATTCCTATAATCGCATCAAAGCAATCGTTAGCGAAATTGTACTCTGCCATTTCTCACATGAAAACTCTGTTCGCCTCGAAACCGAAGAAGAATGCTCATAGGAAACGTCCATGCACGGTAGCCAATTAGTATTATCAAAAAAAAAGAATACCGCTCAAATCACGCAATTCAATCATATTTCTTCTACCATTAAAACAAACACGGGCCGGGCCCCAGCCAATAGCTTTCCCAGCAAAAATGATCGTACTTTGCGACGCTGTAGTACAATAGATCTGAATGTGTACTATAATATCGCACTCGTAATTGCTAATTACTGCGACACCAAATCCATACGTGCACAGCTATGCCTTCACTGTTCAAGTGGACCCATTTGCATAATGCCATTCCTTTCCGCAAAAGTGCTAGTTTGTTTCCTGTTTATGGGTTGGTGTTAGCACCTATTGCACACTCACAAGCCCGCACTAACCTTGGGTGGAACTGAGTGATGATCAAAGAATAATTTACGCTTCTGAATTTACTGCTATGGAGTCGGCCCGATACCGATGCCTCTCTTGCACATCACAAAGTACCATGTGGACAATCATCCAAGTTTAAGCCACTGGTGCCAATCATGTACGGCCCTAAACTGGGCGCTCTTATGGCGCCATCATCCGCTGTACGCGCTCTGTGCTGGGTTATTTCATCCGGTCCACACATGCCCACATAACATCGCGTTTTTTGGCCACGCCACGGTTGCCTAGCGCTAATTTCTGCACTTCCTCAGTCCTTCTCGAGGTACTCCAATATTACCTTAATAGTCCTAGTGCCCTTTTGCGAAGGAACTCGCTAAGCACTTTAGCTCGCCGTGCGGACATGCCTGTGCTCACATGCAGGATACCAACCGCACACACACAGAGCGCACCACACACGCAAGCATGCATGGATACACCTGTATGGAGAAGCTGGTATGAATCGACACAGCACTACAGAAACAGGGAGTCCATCCCCTGAATCCACCTGCGTCTCAGGGCAAGTACATGGTGGCTTTTGGTCCGCGATTTACCCCCTATCCGCCACCTGGGGTCGCGCCACGTAGCCTCGCCACCAACCGGCTCGAGATCTTTCAGTGAGAGAGGACCCTCAGTGAAAGAGATCCGTTAGAGAAAGGTGGGCTCCAAAGTGGAGTAAGCCGCCTACCCTGTGATCCCATACACCAACTTCTGCTGCACCGTGGTTTACCCACTCCGAAGTCTCACCTCCTTCCCAAGCTCAGTCTTAGGCGCTATATAGTGAGAAAGCCCAGGAATGCAGAAAGTAAGCGTTAGGCGGCGGGAGTACCGAAAACAAATGTTACATTGGCAATTAAAAAGAACCCCAAATAACCCCCATACGCAAGTTTACAGCGAATTTGGTGAAACACCCTTGGCGCCAACTGGCGCCAAATGGCGCCAATTGGCGCCAGCGCCAAAAATGGATATCATATTCGTGATCAGGAGCCTCGATAACCCCCATAGGCAAGTTTCAGCGAAATTTTTTTTTGACCCATCTCGCCCCTACTGGGGTTGTAATAGTGCAATGGTGCCCAAAGTTCCGTGGAGGATTCTTTAAAAAAATCTGCATTCACGTGTTGCATCTTCTGAGAGCACTTGTTGAAATATTCACTTCAGAGAGTTCTAATAAATAAACATGAACATATTACAGTAAGCAAGATCGTGAACAGACAATATAAAAACAACAATATTTCACATACAGAAAAAGTCGGAGCAGTAGAAAGAACGATTGAATATAGATAGATTATATTTCACCATTTAACATTAAAATCTTCTAGTTTGCCCTGCCCTCCACTCTCCGCAACATTTTCCTTCATCTTTAGGAATAAAATATTGTGTTCCTTAGTGATCCCTTGGCTTATCGAGTACGCTCCTTCAAGGAATCGCAATCGAGATCTATGCCTCGCATATACTTTTCTGCCTCTTTATGATCAATTGCAGCGCCAGGAAACCTGACCGTTGGACGCCAGACAGTTGCTTGAACTTGAAGTAACACACTAATTTCAATAGCAGTCAAGCATAATCGACTAGAGTTTTGTTCCTTTTGGTAAGGTATATCATGCAGTCCTCTTGAACAATGCCTTTTTGGATGTATGTAGGTGAAAGGAAAACCGACTGCGTCATTCCTTCGACATGCCAGCATGGAGACAACTGTGCTGAAAATAACTCGGCTAATGAAAGAGTCCATGTTACTGAGAAGTGATTTCATGGCATCCACAGTGGCCTTCGCAGTAAGATTTGATGGCTCAGCCGTCCAATGTAGGCACTTCTTCACATTAATCAAATTTCAAGGCCGGGCCAGTGCAAACAGTCGGTGCCAAGTATGGAGGTCGAAACAGTCGCGGTCACGTCTGCAAAGCCATTCTATTCTCGAGTAGTGCGTTCATTATGGGATGAGGCTGTTATCTCAAAACGAGCTATGTTGGTTGGAAGCAGGGTCGACCGTCCATGCGCACTATTCGAACGATGGGGTCGCATTTATGATTTCGGGAACGCGCATTGCATTTTGGGGATGAGCGAGGTTATCAGAGTGGGAACGAAGGTTGAGGAGGTTGTTAGAGGGGATTGTTCGGACGGATTTCTTTGACGAATTTCGTGAAGTTGTACGAAAGTAGCGTGAATTAGACAAAATCGGAGAATTTGCCGCTTCATTATACCAATCTTCCCAATCTCCCCCCCCCACTTCGCCTCTCAGCTGTCATTTTGGAAGAAAGGAAGTGGGCGGGGTTGGGCTGAGTCGTCTGGTTTACAGAATGAAATGCTATGGAAACATACCATGATGGTGAGGGTCGTGGTCGGGGTAAAAGTCAGCGAAGTAGAGGGGAGCCTCCTAAGGCTGATGGTGGTGGTGGCAGTCACATTGAGACCCTACTAACCCCCTATAGGGTGGGGAAGGGTCGCAAAGTTTTTGAAAGAGTGGAACTTGACGGTTGCTTGTTGGGGTTGTCCACTGTTTCGCGTGTGGCGGCCAACTATGAGCCAGAACGAATAAGCATAGAGAAGCAGGCAGCTCTATACCTACCAGCGGCGAAAAAAGGTAAGTACAGAGATATGCACCGGAAAAAGCTGCTAGTCTACTACAAGTGACGCAGAGCTAGTGAGCAATGCTGGCATATTGTCACGAACTTCCTCGAGTTATTTTCTGCGATAATCTAAATTCTCTACTGAAACGTTTTCAACTTTCTCGCTCTTCCAGGACCTCGTATTCATTTTTCACGTCTTTGTCAGGGAACATTTGACGGATTTCGTTATTCTTCCTGTGTAAGTTCACGAATCATTAAACAAATTCTACAAGATGAAGATCTTTGAGCGTCAAACTCTCGACCTTGTACTTGTCTTATTTTGACTTTGATGGAAAACTGACTCATCCTTATCTTCCGAATTCTGATTAACAACTACAACAAAGGGTATGGGCGTTGCTCGAGAGACGGTAATTGCATCTTATAAATAGCAGAATTCGTGACGTACCCCAGTGAGTAATCATTGTTGCAGTAGGCCAGTTTCTCATGATTTAACGAAGGATGTGAATCACATATGAGCCAAATGGTCAACCGAACGTCATATTAGGAAAAATTTTGAAATCGAACGATTCTCCCTTTTGGAAGGGGCTCTCAAAACAACCCCTTTCGGATCGGTGGCGTTCTTGGTCTCATTCAAGGTGATTCATCTTTTCACGCCTTGAAATACTCGGACTCTCGCGAACCATCAAAGCTTCATCGAGGGTAACATAGCCAATGAAACTCGAAAGTTCTCCTGATTATGATATAGAAGTTCCACCTCAAAAAGAGATTGCGAAGTCCAGAAAACTCTCAAACTTCTCAGTCTCGGTAGTCTGACCTCGCCCTTGTCTTACTAAAGATGAATTACCCCTTGTTGGTGAATTCCCAACGAATGGTTCACCATCATTCGAATGAGTCTCATTGTCAATCACAATATGTATTTTTGGGAGCTTCTGTTCAATCCAAATGGAACAGTCAGTATTCAAGCATTGTGGACCATAGTGGGTCTCATGGTTAGTTCAAGCACCATTTTCAGTTTATGCGCCTCAGTCCCCCCCCGTCCTTCTACAGCTAATCGATAATAATCGTCTTTTTGCTAATGGGCTGTTGTGGTTTCTCAAATGGTTTAACGGCTTTTATCGTCATCTGACCTATGACCTTCATGACCGCGATGGACCACCGCAACCATCGCTTGTCCTTTGCAATTTTTAACAAGATGCTCTCGAGCACCATTTCAATGTTCTATTATATTTGTAACAAAGAATTCAGGTATTGAGCACCTATTTTAGCTCTTTGCAATACTCCTGTATGAAACAGAATAAACGCGCTTTCACCTGACACGACCTCCGCATTTTCACTACAAAAACAAACCGAAAAGGATTGTGGATCTAGCCAACATTACTATGCTATTATAAGTTTTTGTGACATGGCAATTTAGACTCTTTTTGATCTGAACGAATCGTTCATAAGTAGTAGTTTACAGGTTATCTGGTTAGTGGAACGGGATGAAAAATAAAACTACAGTACCCTCGACAACAAGTTTCGTTTTTGTATGGATGCGCTACGCATGTATGCAGAGGCCTGCGTTGGCTTCTACATCGCACACGAGATTCTCGACCGAGACGGGACAACAATAGAACCGAAGGAGCGATTGATCAGAAACTGCGTAACGAGTCGTTATCCAAGCTGCGCTCAATTCGAGTATCGGTTTAGGTCCGCTTGCAGATCGCTTCAAGAGTGCTAGTCCTGTGCGTGTTACGTTGCAGGGGTCTACGCGCGTGAGCCGCGTACTCAGGTCCGGTTTCCGATACCAGCGATATCGATGTCACGCCCACTGCGACAGGAAAGACCTGACCGGGTATTTAAGCCAAGGTGTAGAATTGTCTGACACCTTCCGTTCACCCCAATGGACTTAGAACAACGGATTAAAGCGTATCGCTTCGTGGCCTATTCTGCGGTCACCTTCTCTGTTGTGGCTGTCCTTTCTGTTTGTGTTACACTTCCCATGGTCTACAACTATGTCCATCATGTGAAGACATCTATGCACTCAGAAATCAATTACTGCAAAGTAGGTTTACCTTGTTACACGCTGAACAGCATTTGTTTTGATTTCTTATAACTTTCTCCGTAATTGGTGTGTTTAGGGATCAGCTAAGGACATTTGGAGTGAAGTCAACAGCCTCAAAAATATTCCATCTAACCGCACCGCTCGCCAAGCCGGCTACGGAGATGCTGCAGTTTCTGCTGGATCCTCTAGAAGTAGCACGGGAAATGCTTGCGAGGCTTGCTGCCTTCCAGGTCCAGCCGGTCCCCCTGGAGCACCAGGAAAACCTGGACGTCCTGGTAAGCCAGGCGCACCTGGCCTTCCTGGAAATCCAGGACGTCCACCTCAACAGCCATGTGAGCCCATAACGCCTCCACCGTGCAAACCCTGTCCGCAAGGCCCACCCGGACCTCCAGGCCCTCAAGGGACCACCAGGCGACCCAGGACCAAATGGAGCACCCGGGGCCCCTGGGAACGACGCACCTCCTGGACAACCTGGACCAAAAGGGCCACCTGGGCCCAACGGAAATCCTGGAGCTCCTGGCGCACCTGGAGAGCCAGGGGTGGATGCAGTCTCAGAACCTCTTATCCCAGGAGAGCCAGGTCCAGCAGGAGAACCAGGGCCACAAGGTCCTCCAGGAGCACCGGGTCAGCCAGGAGCAGATGGTGCACCAGGTAAGTGTAAAATTAGACTGCAAACAAGTTTGAATGTGATGTTCATCCTTACATCTCAGGGCAACCTGGACCAAAAGGACCACCAGGACCGGACGGAAAACCTGGAGCAGATGGAAATCCAGGGACGCCTGGACCAGCCGGACCACCAGGAAATCCTGGAGAGCCAGGAATTTGTCCCAAGTATTGCGCAATCGATGGTGGAGTGTTCTTTGAAGACGGAACTCGACGTTAATAGCTTTTGTTATTTTTTAACTGCAATATGTCACTTTAATTATCTATTCCGGTTTTGTCAGAATAGAAGCCACTTAATAAATTATATTATAATACGGAACTTGTTCTGTGGAATGGACATCCGAGTGAGTTCTAGTGGTACACGATTACAGCCGTGAATCGCTGTTGCTCCATTATTTCAGTTTTCAAGAATATTTCTGAAGGAACCAGCATTAATCACTTCTTTCGAAGAAAACTCGGTACTTGTCTTCGAAAAATCCCGACACTAAAAAAAGCCGTTCGAGATGATGAAAGAAATGAACGATGGATGTCCAGTTTTGGGAGCGCCCAGGTCAACCCTCTGGATGAGAATGCTTTCGTCTTCACAATGATCATGTCGACAGACAAGCCGTTTTGAACATTTTGGTTACATGTCCAAAAATTCCTTCCATCGAAAATAATTAACAGTGATCACTTCGAGAGTGTCATGAGAAGTACTTTTGCCGAGTAAATCTCAAAATAGACCAGGGAGGAGAGCTACCGGTCTCAACTGCTAGTTGACCAGGAGCTCACAGTGACCTGCTGAAGTCAGACCACGTCTCACCCTTGTCATCCCTTTTTTAGCGTATGCGGGGATTTTTCCCAATTTGCTTGTCTCTATTCTATGGATTACAACATAACATAACTGTAAACGACATGGGTCACGGTATGATCAAATATGCTCCAGTTTAGCAGAACTTTTTTAAGCAGCTGGCAGCTGGGTTTATTCCTCGTTTTCCTCTGAAACTTCCTTCCCATTCTCATGATATGTCAGTGAGAAAGCATAGTGAAAGTAAATACAAACTGAAAGGATAGAAAAATATATGTTTCACTTGACACATCCACATCGAAAATAGTTTTGGCATCCACTACAGAGAAAAGACTGAAATTCCTTTTTCATTACCATTACACGTTCTTTATCGGAATTTCGTCACTATATACTCGATTACCTTCTACGCATTGAATATTGCTGAAATGTTTTGTACCACTGGTGCTTTAAAAAGTTATCAATAAAAATTTACGGATGCCGAGGTGCGGCGGCCGCGCTCGCAAAATCGTCCCTGTCCCACGTGGCCAAAAAAGCCAAAACGCGCGCTCAATGGGTTAAGTTGATGTGGCTATATCTGATGAAAGATCCTCCGAAGAACTTTTTGAACTTCCCGTCTGATTTTTTTTTCGGAAAAATGAACTTCGAGAAGCGACTAGGTGCTAGACAAGCTAGACCTGTACTTTCTTGTCATGATAAAAGTTTGCCACAGGAATGAAAAAGGAGAAAGTTATAGTCACTGAAACTCAAAAACCCGCATTCGCACGAGAAAAGTGCGAGGGAGATTTTTTACAAAAAGAGAGCGATCGCAAAACTTTCGATGATTTTCTAATAGAAACATGTTTGATGTTTCTGAATCTTTCTACGACTTTTCGGAAAATAGTTGCGTTTGGAATATGCTATGACCTCTCCACGATGGAGGTGCGCCTTCTTAGAAATTCGGGCCCTCCACTTCGTAACAGAAGCTTTTCCCGGCTTGCGAGGAAATCGTAGAAGTTTTTTTTTGTAGTTTTCTACTCATGCACATTCCAAATCTGCCTTAACAACATGAATTTAGGAAAGCCATGCGGCGAAATTGGCGGTGAAATCTTCAGTTGTTTCAGCTTACCACTGTCGAGATTGAATGCTGATGGTTCCTCACTGACTTGATGGCATGTCGGACTTCGGAAGAGAGAACTGAGAAGCGTATCCATCCTGTTGCAGTTGATAAGTAGGCAGATGGACATGGCTATCGAAGAGATCCGAGTAGAAGTCGTGGATGACTTTCTCCATTGCCCTTCGGGATGCAGTAACTGTTCCATCCGGACGTCGGAGGCAGGTCATCTTGGTCTTGTAGCTGGCAAAGCTTCGGCGGGCATTGCGGATGCTCCTCCCAGCCTCTGCTGCTTCAGCTAATACTGCTGCTGCTTTCGCTCCTTGAGATCTTCCTTTATCGCCTCTCTGCATAGCTTCGCAAGCTCGGACGTGAGTTGGTGATTGCCTGCAGCTCGTGCGGCTCCACGCTGGCGTATCAGCTCAAGATCAGCCGTAGGCATACCATCATCCCCTGGTGACTTTAAACTCTCTGCGGTGTGTTCGACAACGAATCATACCGTGAGCTTAAAAGAGTCAATATCCCAGTTAATAACTGTCGTAGGGCTTCGCTTCCTGAACTACGTTGCTCTCTCAACACGCATCGAGAAGTGGAATCTTGCGCGGAGGAGACGATGGTCCGATCCCGTGTAGAACTTTGGAACAACAGCGACGTCGGTCAGGCAAAACCTTCGATTGAAGATGATGTGGTCTATCTCGTTATGGAACTGTCCATCAGGTGACTCCCAAGTCCAACGAAGGTGAGAGGGCTTTTGGAACTGTGAGTTACCATGGATGGTGTTGGTCGACATGATAAACTCAGACAGTCTTTCGCCCTGCTCATTCCATTCCATTTTGTGAGCATTTCCAGCCCTTTTTTTATTATTTATCTATTATTTCCTTTTTTTCTATTCTTGGGCCAATAGCGTTGAAGTTTTTTGAAGAAGTTATTATCTTTAGTGTAGGACTTCTTCAATTCCATGCAGAATGCTTCGTGTTTTCCTCGTCGTAGCTTGATGTTGGTGCGTAGGCGACGAAGATTGTCAAAGCAGGAGTTGAACCACATCTTCTCAATCTCAAACGTCCGATTCGGGTCGTAAGGCTTTCGTACGAATCGATGTTTATGGCCAAGTGCGTGTTGACGAGGACACCCAACGCCTCTGCTGTCGCATGTTCCAAGGAACAGTTCTTCTCCAGTATCGAAAACGGCGTGTAGCGGGCGGTGCCTTCTCGTCTCGGTCAGTCCGATGACGTCGTACTTGATCTTCCTGGCCTGCATCATCAGATCTTCGATGTGAGCTTCGGATGCAAGCGTTCGTGCGTTGAAAGTACAGATCGCCATCTTAGTCCCTTCTTCGTTTAGGCAGCCTATCCGGGCCCTGAGATTCTAGCAGCCTCTCCCGAGCGGTCCTACCCAACGCTGCCGTATTGGGGGCTCCCTCAGGTTCAGGGGAATGAGGCCCATCCATATTGCTGTTTTCGGCATATTGAAGGCACACGAGTAGCTTGCCAGGCTCTGTCGTGTGGGCTAGGATAGACCTCCAGGTAGTTAGCCACGCTATCCTGGAGCGGAACAAGGGCTTCGTATAGCATGCTAACTGCACACATGAAGGAGAGGGTACCACACACGCAGGTATGTATAAATACACTTGAGTGGAGACAGGTGGTGTGAATTTACAGCACTACAGAGGCAGGGAGTCCATCCCCTGAATCCACCTGCGTCTCAGGGCAAGTACATGGTGGCTTTTGGTCCGCGATTTACCCCCTATCCGCCACCTGGGATACCGCCACGTTGCCTCGGGACTACTCAGCTAGAGATCTTTCAGTGAAAGAGGACCTAAAAAAAGAACATTAATTGATTCATACTCTTTGATAAAGAATGGCTCTTCAAAATTACCGAGTTTTTGTTCACCGATGCACCATGAAATAATTTCATTTCTCATTATGAGATAGGAGCAATGAAAGTCTAGAGATGACACAACACCAAGTGCAGGATGAACACTGCGTTGAGCAAATGGCTACCGCAGCATGACACCTTCTTCGATGATCTCCAAACGATCCCCTCTTCCCATGAAGGCCTAGTCAAGGTAACCTCGATCTTGGTTAAGCCAGCTCTGTGCCATCGCAGCCTTTGCTCTCACGCCTTCTACTATTTATTTATTTATTTACTTTGGAAACGCGAACGGAGTCCGCGCGAGAGCATACAACGGGGAACAGAAGAACAACACGATACTTCAAGAGACTGCTGAAGAAACAAATCAAGAGTGTAGGCAATAAATTTACACTACAACTAGAATAAAACAGAAGCTGAAAAATGACTCTCTAATGGAGAAATAACTTGATCTGATATCAGTCCTGCTTATCGGAGCCCTTAGCTTTAGTTTTTACCTCCTCCGGTATTGGAAGTATGAGAGTAAAAAAGTCAGAAGGTGTAAGATTGGTTTTACCGGTAAGGATTTTGAAAGCCATAACTAAGTCGAAATTTCTCCTTCTACTGCACAAACTGGCTAAACCAAGTTGCCTTCTTCTTTCAGGCCCATTAGGAATGAAGTGGTAGCTGCGACCACTACAACGCATAACTTTGCTAACGCACTAAAAGCTGTTCGATGCCTCTCTTGTAGAATTCCGCTGAATGCTAATCGAAGAAAGATCAGATGTCGATTTTGACATCATGATGGTTAGGATGAGATTTCTTCTCTAGGAGGTGGTCTGGAGAGGGAAGCAGGTGGGCATCCTTTGGCACGAGGTCAGGCTATAAGGTGGATACGGAAGAACTCTCCGTCCGAGAGTCCAAAATTTTCCTGGATTTTCTTAGCAAGAGGTGGTTCAACGGTGTCATAAAAAGCAAACTTTGCCTTGCTTTTCTTTCGTATTGAAAGCGTTGCAATCGAGCTGTGGACGGTTGACTTCCGCGTTGACTGCGACATCTACACGTAAGGGTTTCCAGAGCTCAACTCCTCTCGTGTTCCACCAAAAATCCGAGAAGGCCCTACTTGGACGAGGTTGAACTTGAGCAGTAAGAACTCCCGAAGCGTTTGAGCTGGACTACCGCCGCTTGTTCATTTGTTAGCACACTGTACCCACTCCTCATCTTCGGCAAATGTGATGGATGGTCAATCGTAGAATCCATAGTAAGTCGACTTGAACATAACGATGTCAGATCGTGTTTGGAGCTGAATCGGGCTCAAGGCACGTGGGGACCAAACTCTACATTTTCGGATCTTCACAAGTCTTTGGAGATGCCACAGTGCTGTCTCCTTGTCGCATCGGAATTGCTCTAGCAAATGATCGATACTCTATCCAGATCCCTTTTCAACAGCGTCAGATAGAGCATCGTGATTGTCAGTCACGGGGTGGTTGGAGTG